TGTACTCAGTTGTTGTCTGTGTTTGTCAGTGATGTACTCAGTTGTTGATGTACTCAGTTGTTGATGTACTCAGTTTTTGGCTGTGTTTGTCAGTGATGTACTCAGTTGTTGATGTACTCAGTTGTTGATGTACTCAGTTGTTGATGTACTCAGTTGTTGGCTGTGTTTGTCAGTGATGTACTCAGTTGTTGTCTGTGTTTGTCAGTGATGTACTCAGTTGTTGTCTGTGTTTGTCAGTGATGTACTCAGTTGTTGTCTGTGCTTGTCAGTGATGTACTCAGTTGTTGTCTGTGTTTGTCAGTGATGTACTCAGTTGTTGATGTACTCAGTTGTTGATGTACTCAGTTGTTGGCTGTGTTTGTCAGTGATGTACTCAGTTGTTGATGTACTCAGTTAGTGGTCGTGTTTGTCAGTGATGTACTCAGTTAGTGGTCATGTTTGTCAGTGATGTACTCAGTTAGTGGTCATGTTTGTCAGTGATGTACTCAGTTGTTGATGTACTCAGTTAGTGGTCGTGTTTGTCAGTGATGTACTCAGTTGTTGATGTACTCAGTTAGTGGTCGTGTTTGTCAGTGATGTACTCAGTTGTTGATGTACTCAGTTAGTGGTCGTGTTTGTCAGTGATGTACTCAGTTGTTGATGTACTCAGTTAGTGGTCGTGTTTGTCAGTGATGTACTCAGTTGTTGATGTACTCAGTTAGTGGTCGTGTTTGTCAGTGATGTACTCAGTTGTTGATGTACTCAGTTAGTGGTCGTGTTTGTCAGTGATGTACTCAGTTAGTGGCTGTGTTTGTTTAGGTTCATGATTATCACCCTTATTTGTGATAGCTTTATTCATAAGTCTGTGAATGGTCTTCCTTTATATGTGACAAGTTTGTAAATGACCTCCCCTCTCTCTCCCTCCCTCCCCACATGCTGAGTCTGGCATCCAGATAGACCAGGGTCTGTACATCAGTCTGTGAATGACACTGTTTTATGACAAGCTTTTGAACGATGTCTACCTTTATTCGTGACAAGTGTGTAACTGACCTCCACTGTCTCCCCCCCCCTCCCCCCTCCTCTTTCTGCAGAGTCTGGCATCCAGCTGGACCAGGGTCTGTACGTGAGTCGGATCTGCCCCGGCGGTGTGGTGGCCAAGTATGGCATGCTGCCCTGTGTGGGAGACAGGATCGTCAATGTGAGTGGATGGGTGGTTGGCGGGTGGTCTGGTGTGGTTTTCTTCTCCTTCCCTATCAAACATCTATCGCTCTTATCTCTCCTCCTTCTTTCCTATCAAACATCTATCGCTCTTATCTCTCCTCCTTCTTTCCTATCAAACATCTATCGTCCTTATCTCTCCTCCTTCTTTCCTATCAAACATCTATTGCCCTTATCTCTCCTCCTTCTTTCATGGCAAACTTTACAAATGGATCAAGTTCTTCCTGTCGGATCGAAACATAGAAACCAAGGTAAACAATGCCCACTCGTCAAGAGAATTCCTCGAGGAAGGCCTACCTCAAGGTTCCTGTCTGAGTTGCACTTTGTTCCTGATCTTCATTAATGATGTGACGAACGTGCTGAAATCAGAAAAGACTCTCTACGCTGATGATCTTGCTCTCTGGCAGACACATCACAGCACGGTAGTAGGAGCAGGAAAATTGAATGAAGACCTCAAGAGGCTCCATAATTACTGTCAGAAATGGAAACAAAATAAACTGCACGAAAACAGTATACACCATCTTTACAAAGAGCCATAAAGCAGCCAAAGAAAAACTCCAACTGAAGATAGGAAATAAAAGTCTCCCCAAAGAAGAACACCCAACTTACCTAGGAGTCAAACTTGACCAAAGTCTAACAAAGAAAATCTCCAACTGAAGATAGGAAATAAAAGTCTCCCCAAAGAAGAACACCCAACTTACCTAGGAGTCAAACTTGACCAAAGTCTAACAAAGAAAATCTCCAACTGAAGATAGGAAATAAAAGTCTCCCCAAAGAAGAACACCCAACTTACCTAGGAGTCAAACTTGACCAAAGTCT